ATCACTACCCACCGCAACTCTTGGGCTACTCTAATACCAACGAATAGTGGGATTGACCGTCACATTATAACGGCTGAAAGGGCGAGCATGTTTGGTGTGACGGGGATTCGAACCCGCGACCTTCATATTGCGAGTCGAGCGCCTTAACCACCTGGCCATGCCGGGGCCCACGTATCGTTCATTGATTGGAAATACCACGATAAAATAGAAAATTATCAAATTGACAAATTTTAATGTCATTGAAAAATTCATTTTTTTTGTTAATATATTTTTTATTATTAATCTGTTTGTTTATCTTATGGAAGATTGTCAAAAATATAACCGTATAAAAGAATGAACTTAACAATGTGGAAAACATCTTGTCACCCATAGAAAAACAACAACATAAACAACATTTAAAATGATTATATCTTAACAATTACTTGCCTTGAAGTAATACAATTTCACCAGAGGCACATTGAAAATCATAAGTTTTATTCAGGAAATTTTGAACACGGTACTAGGTACTTCAAAATCATGTTATAAGTACGTACCCTACCTAAATCATTCTTTTTTGCTTTCGATAATACGATATTAATGATTTAAAAAAATTCCCACAGTAAATGCTTGCGATATCTTCGTTAAAGGAAATACTTGCTTTCCTGACTGAGAATGACGGAAAGCATTTTCAACACCTGCAGTGACAGTTTTTGAAACATTTTACATCTTGTGCAAGGTTTCAACAATCCAACTTATAATTCTCAATGTGCCTCTTCTGAAATTTAGTTTTCCCTAGGACAAGTAGCTTTTAAGATATAGCTGTTTTAAATATGGATTTTTTTTCTTTATATAGCCACCGTTTATCCACAGTGTATACGGTAACAGATTATCACAAAAAACACAACACATTTTTGAGTTTTTAGTACAAATTTGTTATAGCGTTTTAATATCATTCAAGAGACAACAAAGAATCATTTCTATAGAAGATGCTATTTATAGTCCTTGTTCACTCATAACATGTAAAATGTTTCTACTCCAAGTTTAAGTTGACTTGCTAGTGTCTTTTGTCAAGTTTCGCTAACGGAGCATTCCTTGTTTCTGAATACAGTGATGATTCAACCAATCAAAGGTTATTCTGACAGTGATTATCAGTCGCTGATTTATTTATTTTTTCTACTCAGTCCATCGTTGAGAATAAAACCCCGAATTTTAACGTTGTAAATCCTTAAATTTACTGCCGACTCAAAAGGAGACGTGGATGATTTAATTGTCAATTTGAATTGTGGTGTTCATCTAATTAGTCTGTGAATCTTAGATGAAATACTTCTTTAGTTATTACAAGAACCAACATAGAGCACTGATGAGGTCTGATGTCATAATTATGTAATAGATATTATGTATATTATAATAAACTACGTGGAAATTTATATATAGTCTGTTATCAAGTTATTTATTTTTTTAGGAAGATATGCTAAAGGCGTTTTGTTCGAAAGCTTGAAATAATTTTGTTGTTATGCCAAGGAAAACAAATGGAGATTATAAATAATTTTATTAAATTCACATTTATCGTTTTATGACAGCATATACTGTACAATAATTTCATTCCTACGTCAATCATAGATGTTAAACCTAAAATAATGTATCATAAAATAAAAATACAACAATATGAGTAACTGATGTACATTTCTTATGAAATTATTATAATATTAAATTCAATATTATTTCAAATTGATTTTAATACCTGACTTCAATAATCTGTATTGAGTTAGGTTGTCATGGTGAAGAACAAATTCATATTTTAAAGGGCTGAGGGTGACAGAATAATTAGCGTACCGGAATGTGAATGTGCACTGCAGATCCATGGTTTGCATCCCGTTACTTTGGGATCGTGGGTACGTTATCAATATTGGTCAGATCTCATTATTCGGTCAGACAAAAGTAACCCAAAAATTGGCGGTTAAAGCTGTTGATTAACTACATTCCTGCTATTTTATCAGTTCAAAATTAGCAACGGTTAAACACAGATAGCCTTCTTTAGCTTTGTGCGTAAAATGATAAAAATAAGCAAACAGTAAATCAGCTTCAATTGGCTACTAAAACTTCCGCTCTAAAGCGGATGCCAAAGGTGTATAAGTGGGGATAAATGTAAATGTGCATACTCGTTGAGGGGGCACTAAATTTTATAAAATGTATTCATAATTATTTTCTGCTTTCACTAGTGATTAGAATTTTACAATTCAGTAGCATTTTATATAGTGGTGTAGTGCTAAATTCCATACCAGAGCCCTGCCAAAAGTTCTGTCACACTTCTGATGTCACCATCAGATTAAATAATTCATATTCAAAATCTCAATTCTCTTTCTGGATTTTAGGTGCCGAAGCGTCGCTCAAGCAGTACTACACCCCTTATTTTGTGTGTCATAAAAAAATTCTAGAGACCTTTTTAGTTGTACTGAATGCATGTTGTTTTCGTTTTTTGCAATGTACAGCTGTTGGATTGAGATAGATATTGCTTGTTTCGTGTTGTCAGTTTCAACAAAGTTTCTCTCACAGGATTCGTCCTTGTTTCTTATCTTTTACGTCAGCTCCACTATCGACAGATTGATGTTTCGACAAGGCCAGTGAAACTACATTTGTTTGTGAATTATAGCTCGATATAAATATACAGGAATACTGCTTATTTTTAGACCATAAATCAAATAACACATTTCAACTTGAGTTAGAAAAAGGTTTGAGTCAGAAGTGCATTTCGTAAATGTCGTATTTTGAATTACACTACACAAACCAAGACAACAGTTACAGGCTTTCGTGTATACAGTTTGTGATCTATCAGTATCGCTAGAGTAAGGCTTATATAATCTCTGTGCAGAAATAAGGGGATTAATAAGAACGAATAATGATTTGCATTTCAGACCACGTGATGAATTACCACTTGTCTGATTTACATACCAATGGATCGAGGTGGTGATTAACATCATAACGGAAATTGTGCCTTGTCATAGTCATGATATTACCAGTTCCAATTACTCTTTAAATGTGTCATGCATTGTATTTTAGAGTTAAAATGATATCATTATGTGTTATATTACGACAGTTAAAATCTAAAAAAGGGGAGAGATATGCATTCATTACGAAACGTCAACACAGGAAGAGTAAATGTGGTTAACTGTTAATTTTGTAGAACATGATCAGTTTATTTGTTAATTTATTTTCTTCACCGAAACGTGAATATCAGTGAATAAAAGTGATGGAGAGGCCCATTCTATTCTTTGATTCGCCATTCCCACTGCAACAGACTAGCTTAGCCGAATTCGTAGCTCATCAGTGTTCCTTGAAAGAGCGAAGCAAATAAATATATATGTTTATATTATGTCGTTTTTTTCCAGTCCCAGAAAGGAAACAGGCAAACCAGTAGAGAGTTACGCCCTCCTTCGACCAGGAGAAGTATTCAGTCGTATAAATCTCTGGAAGGATGGATGGGTAGGTGCTCATAAAAAAAGGAAATAATTAAGATAAGAGAGCAAAGAAAATAAATAAAGTAGGCCTCACATAGCGATGAAATGTAAGCAGTTTGTTTGCTTTAGATGTGTAGTCCTTTATTGATCGAAATTCGTCGTGTTTGGTCGTGTTTTGCGCGACCTGGGAGGGTCAGGTGCTATCTAGATCTCTTCCTCCTTATTTACCACTAATAGTTGTCTGGATGAGTATTCGGTCGTTGTGCGCGACCAGGGAGGGTCAGGTCCTTCCTCCTTCCTTAACTGTTTTTGAAGTAAACTGTCAAATGCTGTATTCAATATTTCTGAAATTTGCGTACGTAAAATGTACACTAATCCTATCTTCCCTCTTTTCATGGCCATGAATATCGCGCTATAGCTATTAGTGCTAGTTTGTCATTTGGTCATTTTAAAACCCGCAAACAGTTCCGTGAACAAATAGTCGCTTTTTCACTCGATCACTTTATCAAACGCGTATTTGACATATGAAAACTCTTTTAAATACATTTATGATAACTTAATAAATGTATTACATTATTTTCTAATGTAGGATTGACTTACCTAGTGAGTCCACTAATAGATGGTTTGATTTGTCTTGTTTTGTTTTGAATTTCGCGCAAAGCTACATGAGGGCTATCTGCGCTAGCCGTCTCTAAAAAAGCAAAAACGCCCATAAAAACCGCAAACTAAATTTTTTTATGTATCCTTGCATGGTCCTAATGAACCTCCAGACCAATTTTGGTGAGTATCCATCCACA